CCTTTCATGCTGATCATGGCTCTCCACAAATTCCTTTTCTTTATTATCTATGAATTGCTGTCTTCTTGCCAAATATAGTGGAGTGGTTTCCTGTTATGTTCTCCACAGTGTGAAATTCAGAATTTTACTTCACTTAGGTTGCTATCTAAAGTTAGAAGATCAGTCCAGCTTGAAATTTAATCTTTAGCTGGGGGTAATCCTATTAGTAATTCTGAAAATAGTTTTTCATTAAGAATTATTTAAGCAAATTTATTGATATTGCTTTTTTTAAGATATTATGATAATAATATAAATAAACATTAAATCCATATATAGATTGTTCCATGTAACAAAGCATATTGGGCTTTCTGCAGAGAAGGTTGGTTAAATACCCAGCTCAACCAATTTTTTAACCAGGCTTGGGACCAGCTGTATCAACCATCAAACTGTAACCTTTTCCTCTCAGCATAACCTTGTCTTAACTGGGTTGCCTTACTGGGCTTAAAAGCACCAGCAACCACGTTATTTACCCATGAGGAGAAGAAGGGGATTCCCCCCTCCCCCAAGGACAATAGTGTAAAGTGAATGTAAGCATGTTTGGCAAAAACTCAAACTTATTTGCCAATTCAATTTTTCACAGACAACTGCTATGCCACTGACCACATCTATGAAGAAATGGGAATAAATATTAAAGTATGAGGAGGTGCTGAAAAAATTTTGACCTGACAGAGAAGGGATAAAAAAAAATATCTGCTGTTTGATCATTTTGGTCAGATTTTGGGGGAGTGTGAGGAGGCACGGTGGAGTAATAGATCTGCGGGTTGGATTGAGGAATTGGAGAGCAGAATTTGAATTCCAGATAACAGATAAAAAAAAACTTTTTACCAAGACTTTCAAAAAAAAAAAAAATTTCTAAAAATAATTTTATTCATTTGTGAATAAGTCCTGAAAGTTTCACTAAAATCCAACAATTATTTGATTTTGCAAGAATTTCTAAAATGTATCTTTCACTGCAAAAAAGACACTAAAATTTGCTATATTATTTTAGAGACCCTCCTCTGACTGAAAGAAAAACAAGATTTTGAATGTTCTATAAAAGATTAAAAAATTTACTAAAATAATCAAAAAACACTTTGGTCTTTCTTCTTAATAATAACATATATTTTGATGATAAAACTTAGTTTTCATCAAGTTTGGGACATTTTTTCATCATAGTATGCCATTTTTTTGCAGCAAATTCATAACTAAACTCATTCTAATTTCCATGGATTAAAAGATTTGAAGCCTTACAACTCTCTCTGGAATTGGAATTTGGCTCTCTGACTAAAAATTCTGAACCATTATTTGTTACACCCCCCATGCATTCAAGCTTACAGCCCCTGGTATACCCAAGTAGTACTGACCAGGCTCAATGTTGCTTAACTTCAGTGAATACATGAGAACCAGTGTTTCAATATGATGTGGCTACAAGTGATCTAAAAATAGTATAAGACAAGGAATTCAACAGTATTTGGATAACTATACATACAGACCAAAAATCTTCAGGAAACAATAAATAAAACTTATTTAAAATATAATATGTTTTGACAATTCTTTAATGATTAGTGGCTATATGACCAATAAAGATGCAGAAGGAAGTTTTTACTTAGATTTCCTAGATTATGCAAAAAGCAACTGATAAGGTATGACACAAAGATCTATTTGAACTACTAGGAAATCTTGTTTTATTTGGGAAGATATTAGAATAATCTGGAACAGTTCCTGGAAACAAACTGCCTGTATACAGATAGAAAATGAATTCCGTAAGTTTACAAAAATATAAAAGGGCATAAAACGAACATCTCACCTGATTTATTTAACCTCTATAGCAAGGCAATCCCATGAGAACTAGAATTCTACCAGGATTTATTACTAGTGAGCAAAATCTTAATATAAAATATACACTGTTGATGAAGAAAAATAATGTAGGGACACCTAGACAAAGCAGTAAAGGAAAGCAGGAAGAAAGGACTAACCATTAATTATAAGAAGACTGATGATATGGTTGTTATCAAGGGAGACAACCCAAGTTTGGCGCTACAAATTGGAGAAGTCAAAATCAAGCAATTACAAAAAACTAACTATTTTGGAAGTATTTTAACAGACTGGAAATTGTGGCACTGAAATCCAAAGGTGCATTAGAATAGCAAAAGTTACCTTCCAAAAAGTAAACAAATTATTAAGAGACAGAAAAATTTCTCCAGTCTCTCTTTCCTCATGTTTCCCCAAAATTTCAACTGTCTCTTTCCTCATGTTTCCCCAAAATTTCAACTGCCTCTTTCTAAGTACAATTAAAACTTCTTTTTACTCATATGTTCCATCCATTATATTTTCAGCATCCTTCTGTAGAACCAGTTCTTACCTCAAATCTCTTTTAAATCTGTAAGAAATTTGTTCAGCATCCACTGCCATATAGAGGCATTGATGTTACATAGCAGGTTAACACTCTTTGTTTCTAATGAAATTTTTCTATCTCTTAATAATTACAAAAAGAAAAAAAAATTCTTCAAAGTAAATATACTTGACAAGGGTTTGTAAAAAAAAAAAAAGAAAAAAGAGAAAAACTTTGTTCTGTCTTGTATGATCTTAAAGACATAGCCCCAGAATGAGGAGAATAAGTAAGCAAAGAAACAGAAACATTGATTTTCCTGAAAAACGTTAACTTTGGACAAGATTATACATACACATAATCAGGCATACTCACAGAAATATACAGACACAAATCTACACACACACACACACAGACCTGTATACCTGCACACACTGACATGCATATACAGAAAGGACGGGTATATTAAAACATGCAATGTACACATCTTGGAGAAGAAGTCCAGAGTTCATATTTCAAATTTATTACAATCGCAAGCTGTTGATCTGACCTAAAAATCTGAACAGGATGCACAAATTTTACTTTTATAGCAGATGTGTCAGCAAAGAAAATGGGGGTGGTGGTGGTGATAGTGGAGAGAAATTGATTTTTTTTTTTAATGCTCCTCCTCCAACAGTCCACACCACCACCAAATCTTTTTAGTGAGAAGAACTTTTTTTTTTAATTTTATTTAAAGTAGGGGTATTTAGACCCTCTAGCCCTAATTCCACCCCCCCAAAAAATGGGTGAAGGAATCTTTAAAATAGAGGATGGGGGGGGGGAGTTTGGGAGGAGGAGATGGAAAGAAAATTTGCCTTCCAGATGCTGGAAGTAAGTTTGTTCACTCATCTGTTCAATAAAGATGAAAAACAGAAAAACAAGAGGGATTGTGAGTGAGGGTTGAAGAGATTCCTCTGCCCTGCCGACACATATACATTGCCATCCCCCTTACACACATAAGAAAAAAAGAAGACAGAAATAGCTTGGCGGCATGTAAAATATATTGTAGCTTTTATTCCCCAAAACTGAAAGGTGAAGGGGCATTATAGTGAAAAAAAAAAAACAAAACAAAACAAAAACACTGAAAGGTTCTCACTCAGCTTTGCGCCTTGTAGAAGTTCTGGTGATATTTTTGCATAGTCTGAAATTATGAAATGAATTGTTGGTATGGCCTTTTTTTTTTTTTCTACCCTTTCTACACTGTTCCAGTTAATCTTTTATCCAGTCCTTTTCAGGTCTGTTTTGCTAGGTGCAGAACCTTATTCGGGGATTTTAACCCAATTGTGTGGGTATTGTGCTATTGTGTTGGCAAATAAATCAATAGCTTATGACCATATCATGCTGAAACATTGGTTCTTGCATGATCACCAAAGTTAAGCAACATTGAACCTGGTCATTATCTAGATGAGTCACTGCTTGGGAATACTGGATGCTGTAAGCTTGGATGTGTGGGTGATGTAATGAATTGGAATTGGAAATTGGAGAGCAGTGTTCCATTTCCAGTCAGATTCTTTATGTTCATTTACACACAAATATGGGAAAGATATGAATCCACCTCTTCTCCTCACAGCTGTGAGTGAATTAGCAGGACTTGTATCAGTAAATGATTATTATAATCTACATATATGTTCCAGCCTTAAATAACCTGCAGAAGGTTGATAAGCCATAAAAAAACAGATCAATCAAATAATTCAGCAAGTGCAATAATATATTACAATACAAACATTTTTATCAACAAAACAACAAGAAGGCTCTTTATTAAAGAGCATACAACTGATAATAGTTTGAGAATGAATAATGTGGGGGAAAAATGATTATACCTGTAAAATGTACAATTTCTGAAGAGCAGTAAAATTTTCAAAATGCACTGTAATAGCATTTTAATGGGTTCAATAAAAAGTGTATCATTGGTTAAAATATTGTTTTTAAATTCAAACTAAAAGTGCAACAGTTTGATTGGCTGCATTAAATTCAAAATAAAAACACAGCAATTATATATACACTATACACACCCAAATGTGCATATATTGTTTTTTTAACTGTAAATGAAAGATTGATCATATATTATTTGATGTTTTGGAATAATTTAATAAATACGAAAAAAAAAATCTAAAATTTTAAACATTAAAAGAAAAGGAAAAAAGGAGAAAGTCATTGATTTTTTTTTTCATTTTATGTTTCTAAACAGCAGAATTGGATTTTTCAAGTGTGATAAAAAAAACATTTTTGAAAAGCTTACTTTAAATCTATTTAATACAATTTTTTTTTCATATGGAAAAGAATGAGGAAGAGAAATAAGAAAGAAGAAGGTAACAAATAAAAAGAAAATAAAGAAGAAGAAAAAGAAGAAAAAATAAGAAAAAGGAAAGATTAAACATAAGAAAGAAAAGAAAAAGAATAAGGAAGAGAAAGAAGGAAAAGAATTAGGGAAAAGAAAGAATAAGGAGAATAAGGGGAAAGAAGGAAAAGAATAAAGAAGGAAAAGAAAGGAGAAAAAGAAGGAAAAGAACAAGGTTAAAAAAGAAAGGAAAGAACAAGGTTAAAAAAGAAAGGAAAGAACAAGGTTAAAAAAGAAAGGAAAGAACAAGGTAAAAAAAGAAAGGAAAGAACAAGGTTAAAAAAGAAAGGAAAGAACAAGGTTAAAAAAGAAAGGAAAGAACAAGGTAAAAAAGAAAGGAAAGAATAAGAAAGGAAAGAATAAAAAAGGAAAGGAAAGAATAAAGAAAATAAGAAAGAGAAAGGAAAGAATAAAAAAAGAACGGAAAGAAGAAAGAGAATAATCAGTTAAAATATCTTCTGCTAATGTCAATCCCACAATGCAAAGTGAGCAACTGGATTCAGTACAATGTGTTGCAGACTAAATATGAAAATAAAAATACAATTGTAAAGGGTTTGAAAACCGAGCAACTACTGCAGATTATTGTATAAATGGATTTATTTGGTTGAAGAATAAAACAGTGATCCTTTGAAAGCCATGCTTTGTATCAAAATCAGAGAGGAATCATTGACTTTATATGATTTAGTGTCCTTATTTTTATTGTTTTGATCACTTTTTGGTAGATGTATTCTCTGGCAAATTTAGTGTTGTTTCAAAGCTTTCATATTTATTTACATGAATTATTCAGACAACTATCCCTATCTTCTTTATTTTGATTACAATATTTCTGTTGATGCATTCTCCTGCCTTCCTAGTGGCTTCAAATATTCAGAGATGAAATATTGTCATTCTTTACTGATTTAGTTAGATCACCAAAATTGTTTTCAAATTTACATTTTTATATCAATAGAATGAGTAAAGATATTCCATTTTAGATAATTTGTTGTTACAAAGAAAAAGAAAAATTTTGATATATAAATAATTTTTATTGAAGTCGGCCTTTTAGATTGGTGTAAAGCTCAAGTAGACAGTACATTTGACTACTTGTAAAATCCTAGATCTGTACAAATATCAACACAGAATGAGAAAAGAAAACAAGGGACAGGGATGAAAATAACAAAATAAAAGGATGAGAGGGTAAGAGAAAGTGAGTGAGAGAGAGAGAGAAAAGAAGCAGAGAGCAAGAGAGAGAGAGAGAGAGAGAGAGAGAGAGAGAGAGAAAAGAAGCAGAGAGCAAGAGAGAGAGAGAGAGAGAGAAAAGAAGCAGAGAGCAAGAGAGAGAGAGAGAGAGAAAAGAAGCAGAGAGCAAGAGAGAGAGAGAGAAAAGAAGCAGAGAGCAAGAGAGAGAGAGAGAAAAGAAGCAGAGAGCAAGAGAGAGAGAGAGAAAAGAAGCAGAGAGCAAGAGAGAGAGAGAGAAAAGAAGCAGAGAGCAAGAGAGAGAGAGAAAAGAAGCAGAGATCAAGAGAGAGAGAGAGAAAAGAAAGAGAGCAAGAGAGAAAAGAAGCAGAGATCAAGAGAGAGAGAAAAGAAGCAGAGAGCAAGAGAGAGAGAGAAAAGAAGCAGAGATCAAGAGAGAGAGAAAAGAAGCAGAGATCAAGAGAGAGAGAAAAGAAGCAGAGAGCAAGAGAGAGAGAAAAGAAGCAGAGAGCAAGAGAGAGAGAAAAGAAGCAGAGAGCAAGAGAGAGAGAAAAAGCAGAGCAAGAGAGAGAGAAAAAGCAGAGAACAAGAGAGAGAGAAGAGAAGCAGAACGAGAGAAAGAAAAGAAGCAGAGAGAGAGAGAGAGAGAGAAAGAAGCAGAGAGTGAGAGTGAGAGAAGTACTGAGAAGTAGATAATTGAGAGGCAGAGAGAAAATGGAAAAAGAGAGTTATAGACAAGCAGAGAGAGAAAGATAGAGAAAGAAGCATAGGGAGAAGAGAGAGAAAGAGCCATGCATGCAAAAAGAGATACAGTGAAAGAGAAAGAGATGACGGAAAGAGGCAGAGGGCAAAGAGAAAACAAAATTGTAAAAATAAAAACTCTCTTCTGGGTGAGATTTTGTTCATTTTTGTCTTTCTTGCCTGGAAGTAATGTCCATTTTACCACTTGACGATGATAAATAAGTTAAATGTCAAAAAATAATCGAATTAAAAGATAAAAAAAGAAAGAGAAGCTTTTGAGAAAAAAGACTAACAAGTTTTTGATTTTCAAGTTAAAGTCATTTTGAATAATATTCAGACAAAAAATTGTTAAAAACCAAAAAGTGAAGAAGGAAAAAAAAAAAGTGACTGATACTTCTGGTTAGATTTAAGAAGAGATACATTTTGTAAAATGCACCCTGTGTGAGTGAAAGTAAATCTTCAAGTGAAAAGTTGATTGATTGGTTTTTACTGATTATCAACTCTTTGTCGGTTATTTAAAGCTGAAACATATTTCACGTTGTAGTTGGTTGCTTATAGTACTTGGTCTTCCCAAAAGCTTTCCCATCTAAGTACTGATCATGCTTGATGCTGCTTAAAATTGTAGTTGTAAGTACTGCCACAAGTAAAAATACACTCATACTAAATAAGAGTACACTTATAAATGTAGATAAGTAGATATATTTTCAGCCTGAGTGGAAATATATTTCTTCTACAGGGAAAATTTTTTCCATCAAGATGGACAGCCAAGTTGAAATAGAATTATGAAGAATTTATGTGTAATAACAAAATTAGAGTCCATCCCAAAATATTGATTTTTCTACAATCCACAAATTATTAAAAATCAGAAAATAAAAACATAAAAGAAATCTTAAGAATTTGGGTAAGTGTGCAATACTAGACAACCTTTGCAAATTCAGCATAAAACAACTGCTGCCATTCCATTGTTTGATTTTGAGCAGTAACTTTTCCCTTAGATTTCTTTGAAAATAAAAAAAAAAAAAATATTTATTCTTTTGTCTATTTGAAGGAACCATACTTAAATGTACAATTAAGAGTTTATAAAGGATATCTAATAAAAAAAAGATGAATGGTTATTAACAACTCAAATTACAAAAAGGAGAGAAAGTGAAAGAAAAATGGAGATTTCTGGCCAACAGATAGAAGTGTCATTATAACCTCTTGAAATTATTGAAGGAGAAGTCTGATTAGCTGACATTCTTAGGAATTATTTACAAAATGATGCATCATGGGTAAAGTCAATGTTCCATACTTGATCGTATGATGAATGCTGAAAATCTAACGAGAATTACTTAAAGGAGGAAGAAAAAAAAATACAGAAATAGAAAGTAAAGAGAGTTGAGAATATAATTTCAAAGACATAAGTAAGAAATTTGATGTGGATTTAACGCAAGCAGAATCAGGTACGTTACAAAGAATATGTTCTTAGCAAGAACAGCAAAAGGTAAAGAGTGAAATCTAACTCTGGGTGAATCAAAGTAGATGTCTTCATTTTTTTTTTTTTTTTTTGCTATTTTTCTTCATCTTTGAGGTTTCTCAGTTCAAAAGGCCAACAGTAATGATTCAATAAAGTGTTTATGAGAAAGTTTGTTTATCATGACATGAAGTGTGTATTTTGTCTTCTGATCATGTTTCTATCGATCATTAAGGCTTCTGCTAGAAATCTTGACTGTTCAGCATGATGTGTATCTAGGGTATGTTATAAGATGGCTGTATTCATCTATTCTTTTTGTGGATGGTGTAATGGCTCGGAATTGTCAATCACAGAGCTGAGTTCCAATTCTTTGTTGGCTTTGTTATATTCACTTACATGCAAATACCCTTGGGAAATGTATGAATCCACCTCTTCTTCCCCCAGCTATGGGTTAATTAGTAAGACTTGTATCACTAAATCATTATTATTTAAAAAAAATATTCTTTCAATCTAAAAATATTTTCATAAATTTTTGTTCAAAATTAAGGATATTTTTGAGGAGTGTTTTTTTTTCTGATTTTAAAGCCTTTCTCTGTATAAAGTCAAAAATGATTGGGTGGTAAGGGTGGGTCACTGGAAACTGTGCAAATAACTTGAATTATAAGCATACACTTATTTACTAAGAGTGCATTTTCATTTGTGGCAATACTTAATTAAATTCTCTACACAGTTATATGTGGCTAGTGTAATGAATCTCAGGATAGATAGTAGCATCATGGAACCAAATACAAATTCTAGGTTAGTCCGTTGCATTCACTTTCACACAATCACCCATGGGAGAAGAGCATGAATCTCATCTCCTTCCAACTATGGGTTAAATAGTAGGCTGTAATGAGTTCTCTAGCCTTAGGTAGAAACTAATCTAAGAGAAAGAAAATTCTGTATTAAAAATTGTGAAGAAGGCAGCAGGAAACTGAAGAAGATTATTAAATATTAAAAATATTAAATTATTATCATTAAAATATAAATTAAATATTAAATTATCATTAAAATATAAATTAAATATTAAAAATATTAATTATCATTAAAATATAAATTAAATATTAAAAATATTAATTATCATTAAAATATAAATTAAATATTAAATTATTATCATTAAAATATAAATTAAATATTAAAAATATTTAATTATTATCATTAAAATATAAATTAAATATTAAATTATTATCAATAAATATAAATTAAATATTAAATTATTATCATTAAAATATAAATTAAATATTAAAATAATTTCCCATGAAATTCACTTTATGCTGATTTGCATATCACTGTCAAATTCACTGGTTAGAAGATTAATATTAATATTTAATAGATAAATCTAGTACGTAGGGGGGATGGAGATAAGTCAGGCACATGGGGGGGATGGAGATAAATCAGGTATGTAGGGGGATGGAAATAAGTCGGGTATGTAGGGGGGAAGGAAATAAGTCAGGTATGTAGGGGGATGGAAATAAGTCGTGTATGTAGGGGGAAGGAAATAAGTTAGGTATGTAAGGGGGTGGAAATAAGTTGGGTATGTAGGGGGGATGGAAATAAGTCAGGCATGTGGGGGGATGGAAATAAGTTGGGTATGTAGGGGGAGATTCTGTTAAGTCAGGTATGTGGGGGGATGGAGATAAATTGGATACAAAGTTGGGTATGTAGGGGAATGAAGATTATGTTAAATCAACTTTAGGATGGCTTAACTGCCTTGACAATCAGCATTGATAATTTTGACATTTATCTGGGCTTGAACCATAATTGCTGGCTTGACTCACAGGTATAAAATATTTTTAATATATATCTATTGTTAGCTTTAGTCAGGCACAAGATCAGATGAAAAATGAAGACTGTGTTGCATTCATTTTAAAGAAAAGGGGGCCTGGTTGCCTTGAGAATCGGTATTAAAAAATACTGGCTTTGACCTAAACTTGAACAGTAATCATTGGTTAGAAAAATGGCATTTTATCTCATCCTGCATCAAGCAGAACCTGTGGGATTTTATGTTAGTATAAAAGTGGGGTGGGGTGGAATTCAGATCAAAATTTATCTGATAATTACACAGACTTATTGATTCATTCTTATCTCAATTATTGTTCCAATTATCGCTCACTTTTTCTGATCATATCTCCTCTTTATATAGCATACACATTTATATGTATTGATTTGTTATATCGGTTATCTTACACCAACATATACTTATTTTTCAACAATCTCCTTCCTTCCCAATATTTTTAATTCAAGGGTGAATTTTAATCCATTCAGAAAGTTACTCATCATCGTGTATCATTGTTGGGAAAATACTTTTGCCATTGTAGGTAATATCAGATTTTTTTCTTTCATTTTTGAGAGAAAGGTTTCCATACCATTGATAAAAGAGGCCGACTTAATACCTACTTGACACCTGAACTCAGTTAGCAGGTAACAAACAGCATCTGTAAAGAAATCTATTCTTCATTATATTTAAAATAAAAAGTTAGGTTTCTTTTTCAGAATCCAGTTAATTAACTAAGTAATTAGTTATATTAACTAATTGCCATTGAATCTTATTTTCTATAGTGACTACTTTATTTTTGGAAGATTTTTAATTACGGTTTAAATATTTTAATTAAACGACTTATAAAATAATTTGACCTTAGTGGAGGAATCAGTGGTGTATACAGTGTAACATACAGAAACATATTTCTAGTACTATATATATATATATATATATATATATATATATATATATATATAAATAAATGGAAATGGCAATATTTGTTGTTTCCTTATAAGGAAACATTCTGCATTCATTGACTGAACAACCAATTCTAATTTGTTCAGGAAAATAGGTTTGTCAAGTTCACTAACTGCAATTTCTTTTTCCAGTATTGATGGGGGATTTCTTCCTAACCTATTGTTTGAAGTAATATAGAACACCAACATTTTTATAATGTCATTCTCTCATTAAGTCACATGTTCTATCCATTTTAGTTGTTGCTGCTGCTGTTATTTGGAAAAATTCTTTGTGATTCTGTAGCACCAGTCTGCAATGTTTGAAGAAGGATGGTCCTCACTAAGACCTACAGGCTTCATTTCTGTAAGTTTAATACTTATGTAATCTTCAGGTGTATAGTAAGCCTCAAGTTTGGAATTTTATGATGTACAAATAAAGAAGGGTTCATGATCATTCAGTCAGAGTGAGATCAGTACAAATATAGAAGGGTTCATGATCAGTCAGTCAGAGTGGGATCAGTACAAATATAGAAGGGTTCATGATCATTCAGTCAGAGTGAGATCAGTATAAATATAGAAGGGTTCATGATCAGTCAGTCAGAGTGGGATCAGTACAAATATAGAAGGGTTCATGATCATTCAGTCAGAGTGAGATCAGTATAAATATAGAAGGGTTCATGATCAGTCAGTCAAAGTGAGATCAGTACAAATATGGAAGGGTTCATAATCAGTCAGTCAGAGTGGGATCAGTACAAATATGGAAGGGTCCATGATCATTCAGTCAGAGTGGGATCAGTACAAATATAGAAGGGTTCATGATCATTCAGTCAGAGTGGGATCAGTATAAATATAGAAGGGATCATGATCATTCAAGTAAGGTGTAGAGCTGGTACAAATATGGGAGAGTCCAATGATCATTCAGTCTTGTTTGGGCAGGTAGAAAAGCAAAGAAATGTCTACACTTGAAAATTAATTCTGACTTTTATATGGTGTTGGATAAATTTAAAAATGCATATCTCTTCCATATTTTTATGTCATAAATACCCAACCCAGGGATTTGCTTTTTACTGGAAGATCACTGATGTGTGAAACTGGCAGTCACCCTTACATTTTTCCTTAAATCCTTCTTACTATCATGGTAGCTCTGACTGCTTGACATTGACTAATGGGTTTTAAACCAACACCACATGACAGCAAGTTTGTTGTTCTCATAAATAATACAACAGTGTTATTATCTATCAATATATATATATATATATATATATATATATATATATACACACACACACACACATATATATATATATATATATATGTATGTATGTGTGTGTGTGTGTGCAAATATATAGAAAAATAGGAAAGAACATGTTAGGTAAATAATCCGAGGTATTTCTGTTTTTATTTTTAAAAAAACAGTGCCCAATACAAAAGTAGAGCCTAAATTCCTAGATTCCTTCGCTACATAAGAGATCTTATGTTTCAAAAACAAATGTCAAAAAAACTTCAATATAATTGTTAAAATTAAATTGAATTTTATGTAGTGAAGGAATCATAATTTTTAAAAAATTAAATATAATTATAATATATATATATATATATATATATTACACAGAAAGAGAGATAAATAGATAATAGATATTGATCTCTGAAGATTGCTTGATGCATGAAACTTTCAGTTCACATCCAGTATTGAGTTTCATATCTATGCTGTAATATTTATCCCCCCCACTGAGACATGATGTGACACAAAGTCAGGTTTTCTGTGGAGAACCAGAGCGTGTACACCCAAGCCAACAACAAAATTTGCCCAGCCCCTGTAACCATCAATTGTGCTGGCCTCAGTAGAGACTAACGATCCCCCATCTCTAGTGCAATAGGGGATGTGCCGCTTTGGGCAGCTGTTCCCTGGGACCAGGCACCTTGCAGTATTTATTTTCCTCAGTTGTGTCTGTCTGCAGATAAAGCCACAACTGGGCTGCGCTCT